ATTAACAATAGATTGTATTCCACCAAAAATCACATTAGAACTTCTCTGAGCTCCCCTCCTCCCCTACGCGCACAGCAGCCTCCCATCAGACTTTGGCTAAATATATCTGCTGATTACAAACACAGCAGGCTGGAGAGAGAAGAGGGGATGGACAGATAGGAGAAGAGACAATATCAGAGTATGCCAATGCTCAATAACATCATTCCATATCAGACCTAACATTGTAATACATCAAATTATAGCAAAGTGTGCAGTCATTTTACACTATTTTCATCAAATGCCCTACTTGTTTCTTACCCTAGGCTTGGGACAGACAGAAACACTGCCTATTAAAAGGGCCTATATTATTCTATTTTCCAATCTATCTTATAATGTTGTTTCTCATCAAAAACACACTCGGAGCTGTGTTTTGTTTCATTCACACGTTTAACACACAAATCCCGCATATTTAGGCTGGGTTCTTCTCTCAAATGGAAAACCCTCTGTTCCACCTTGTGATGTCATGTGGTAATACAAACTCCTTACACTTTCACTAGACTCATTTACCGTAAATTACAAACTATAAGCCGCTACTTTTTTCTCACACTTTGAATCCTGCGGGTAATAAAACGATGTGGCGAATATTTGGATGGATTCTTTGTTTGGCACATTGTCCGTTCATAGATACGGTAGATCCATAGATCCATAGACGCGAGCATTGAGCACCTGGCGATTTTAAAGTTCCTCTCGTACTGGAGTCAGAACATGAACAACTTACGTGTTTTAAGGAGGAGACGGAGAAGGACGAGGTTTTTGGCCATGGCGTTTGGTGGGGCAGTCTGTTGAAAGGAACGTGTGGGTGTGCAGATGTAGCCAAGAGTGGTGAGTCGCGATGTGCTTAGCTTCAGTGACACGGAGTTCATAAAAATTTTCACCTACTTCAGCGCAGAATAGTGACGTTTGTGGCTTGTTGTTCACATGTGGGTCGGATGAATGCGCTTTGGCTGTTCAGATTGAAGTCGCATGTAAAAAGATCAGATATATATCGGTTTTAGGAGCACATATCCAAGTGGCCTGGGTCGCATTTGAAAAATTCGGATCTGTGTCATTCAGACTGTCATTAAAAGATCAGATACAGGTCACATAGGGGCCAAAAAAATCAGATTTGGGTCACTTCAGGCTGCAGTCTGAATGTAGCTTTAATGACCCGTGTGCGTAAATGACGTCTCAAACTGCAGTAGCCAAACATCCACTCATACCTGATTGATAGAACTAACCCTGCTCCCGAGATAGACTAAAATCTGCTGAAATCCTCCAAGACACTGACATGATACAGACAGGACAAAGACTCTTTCTGCAGGAGTCATGCGCAGCAGAGTGCGGTGAGAGACGGAGTGATGTGCCCAGAAAGATGCTTGTTTGATTGTGTTTTGATTGTGCTTCATACACACACCCTCCTCGTAGGAAAACACATGAAGAAATGCAGATGATGCAGATGAACTTGAAAATGTGGACACCTGTGGCTTATATTCAGGTGTGGCCTATATATGTACAATTTCAAAATGTTGTTAAAATTTAGTTGATGTGGCTTATATTCAGGTGCGCTCAATAGTCTGGAAAATACAATAGATACTTTCAGCCCTGCCAATCTGTGGAGAACAAAAGGTAAAAAGTTGCTGTTAACTTGAAAACTATACCACTTGATGACATCAGAAGGTAGAACAAAGCATTTTGATCTTTGAGGATGTAGACAGACCAACAATAAAGGTTTAATCATACATCCTTCGTGGAGATGACAACATTATAACATGTCTTTAAGCTCACAGGAGTCAATGTGGTGTTATATTTGACCTTTAAAGAGCAAAGTTTACTTTTAATTTTGACTTCTCAGTTTCCGTTTTGATCCATCAATCTTTGTAATTCACTTTCCTGTCAGAAGTCATGACGATTCTCTCAATTAGTGCCCTGTCTGTAATGAGAAATAGTTACAAGGTGCTGATACAAGCATACCTGCCTGCTAACTACCATCAGGAGGGCGGCCATCGGTGGAGGAAAGAGCTTAGAGATGAGGAAAATCACTAGTTTGTTTATGCTACACTCATCCCTCCACTGGCTCTTAAAATTCATCCTCCCCTTACCTCTCTCTTTCTGCCACAATATTAATGTCATATGGAAAATAAGTACTAACACATACTCCCGGCTCAGAGCTGGGGTTGCGTTCACTTGCATCATTGTTTTTTCGGCACCAGGTGACAAAGGTGGGAAGGTTGCTTTTTAAATGCAATCCATTAACACACATAAGCACACGCTCATAATAAGATTTTTGTTATGAAGAGAGCTAAACAAAAGGTGTGGAAACAAAGAGCTGTTTTTTTTTTTAAAATAATTTGGCCTTGTAAAACCTTTGGGATTTTATGCATACACAAATTTAGCTAATTTTTATTCAGAGTCATGCATGCTAGAGTAGGCTTTACAGTTTATATTGAGGTAAAGGAGACAGAAGAATACAGAAAAAAAAATGCAATGTTTGTTTTTTTAATCTCTGTCATGCCAGATCAGAGTACACTTTCAGTTACTCATCAACACAAGGTAAGGAATTTTTATATACTGTACTGTGAATCATTGAAAACTACTTAAAACCCAAGACCAAAGACCAAAAAGAGACAGATGGGAGGAAGTAAGTGTGGGCTACAGTGATAGGCAGGCCCTGCAGCAATGATTGACAGCTGTCAGTGTATTGCGATGCGATTCTCTCCTCCAAATGATAAAAAAAAAAAAAAATTAGATTTTGAGTTACTTTGGGGGAGTTCTATAAGTAAAGCTTTATCCAGTGCAGATATTAATGCCCCAAAAGGATTGGCTGTGCAGTGTAGTTAATGATTTGCAGAAATGTTTCTAGCTATAAGCAAACTGTGTACTGTACATATAGAAGGTCTCACATCCGCAAAGGGGCACTTGAATTGGTGAGTTATTTTGGAGTTGTTTGCTCATAAAGTTAATGCTTAACATTCAGAATTACACTTACATTTTAAAGGCTCCATATTACACACCATTTATTCTCGTGAGCTTTAAGCCATATTATAACGTTGTTACATCATCAAAAACATACCTGGAGTTGTGTTATGTTTCTTTTACACTTGTTATATATCTCCAAAGCTAAAAATGCTCTGCTCCACCTTGTAACGTCATGATGCGGTAGTTATTTCAGAAGAGATTGGCAATTTGAGAGAAGAATTCAGCCTAAATATGCAACATTGGTGTGTTAAACATGTGCAAACGAAATGAAACACAACTCCAGATGTGTTTGTGACAAGAAAACAACGTTAAACATAGATCACAAATAGCATGCATGCATTTGTTATACATTTTCAGTACAGATTTAAGCATGTAAATAGAATATTTAGGGTCTTATGAATCACATTTGTACTGACAAATTCCAATCAGAAATGTTTACAGGCCCCCCATTAAGGTAGGAACAGCCTAGATGAGATGACTTTGAGTTAACCTAATCCACATTGTTTTTATATTCAAGATATTAAAGTAGTAGTAGTGGTTTGTTGCACTAAAATGTACACAGTAACTACAGTACAACAGGACAATACAGGGGAATTTTCAAATCACTGCTAACTGATTTCAAATGATGACAGAAAGACAGATAAAATTGTTGATATGTATTTTGAGTGATAACTGATAAAGCCATTGCTCCCAAACTGAGCTGTATGTTCTCATAATAGTCATCTATACTCTACACACATGAGTTTAAAGGAAAAAAATGTGAACAATTAAGTAAATTATAGTCTCTCTCTCCCCATGAAACCATATGCTTAATGAAGCACCATTTCTACTGTATGATTTATACTTCTGTGGTAATTGTACATCCAATTATAATCCATTATCCTCTTTATAACACAAAATGACTCCTTTTTGGTTTGGTTCCCAGCTTCAAAAGAAATTAGAGGAGCAAAATAAGAATAAAACTGGAAAAAGATGCAGGTAAAGTGTGGTATTATGGGATTATTGTTTGTGCTGCTGTGGATCATGAAGTTGACACAATTATGATGGTGAACTGAGGTGTAAAGACAATGTGAATAGTAATAAAGGAGCAGGATCACGTTTAAGAATTTTCAAATTGAGGAAAAATAAACTAAATAAGGCTAAATAAACTCCATATATGTCATGCACTTTGAGCTTTTTGCACATGTTTTTCCAATGTGTTTTGGCAAATGGCAAATAAACTAACCTTACTAACCTAACCTATATTTATTTTATTTTATCGTCTACTAATTTTGTACAAGCATCCAAAACCAAACTGCTAAAATGTTGAACCCCTTTCTTGTTGACTGGGTTCACAGATGTATGGCTACCTTCTGTCATTATATTGTTAAAGTTAATTAAAATGTTGTAAATTTGTGCAAAGTAATACAGTTATTAAACCAAATACTTATACTTAAAGAGCCCATATAACTCTATTTTATGATCCATGTTATAATCTTGTTTCCTCATCAAAAACATACCTGGAGTTGTGTTTTGTTTCATTCACACATGTTTAAGACACAAACTCTGCAAATTTAAGCTTCAGATTTCTTCTTCCATACATAAAACACTCTGTTCCACCTTGTGATGTCGTGGTAATACAGGAAGTGCTCCACTGTGTTTTTAAATTCATACACCTTCACAATCATTTGGATGATTTCAGGCCTGGAATTGCAAATCTCTACTGAACACAAGGTAAACGTTTCTCATTAACTTGAAAACTACCGTTTAATGACATCACAAGGTGGAACAGAGCATTTTGAGGTTTGGTGATATGAACAGACTCATAATAAAGGTTTCACTCAGGTCAATTTTAAATCCTTGCCTTCCTTGAATGTAGTTGCAAATTCAACGTAATACAAGGGAAATCCATTGATATTGCTCCATAGATGTTTCATTTCTGCTGCTAAATTGTCATCGAACCAATCACAGCCAAAAGGGGGCGGAGTTAAGCGGTGCAGTAGTTCATTGTTTTCTTTCGATCTTACCCGTGGAGGTGGGCTGTCCCCGGAGCAGGTAGGAGTCTTCGGGGTGGGGCTCGAGGTGTGAGTGGGTGGAGTTCTTCTCCAGGAGGGGCACCTGGCACTCCCTGATGGGTGGGGAGGGGCCGGGGGAGGGGTGGTGGGGGGCGGACTGGGACGACTGGTGGGACGGAGGGAGCAGGGAGGAGGAAGAGGTCGGAGGGAGCGGGCGACCTACAGACAGAACACAGAAAGAGAGAGACATGAGGGGGGGGGGTTGATGTTGGTGATTCTCAAACTTAGAACATAAAGTACTACCTTAAGACATATCTGGCTTTCTTTATAAATTAATAACAACGAAACCAGAACTAAACCAGGACTAACCTCTTTCAGGAGTGAGGTTTACTTGAGCCAATAAACCACAAAACTAACCCCTGATAAACCTTGTGTAACTGTCTACTGAATTAAACCAGAACTAAAACAGATCTTGACCATTTCTAAACCAGGTCAAAACCACAATTTAACCAAGATATAATCTAGACTAGGAGAGCTCAAACTGTTTTTTTCCGAGAGAAACATATTTTTTAATATATTCGAAGCACAGTTCCACAGTGAATCATTTAGATGGATGCATTTAACACAGCTATGCAAGAGCCACTGTACCTTTAATAAGGCTTGGAACATTTATTTTAGGTCTGTAACAATCATTACAGTAAAATGTTCAAAAATCATTTGCAGTAAAATGTTGTGCCTGTGACTAAAGTTCACCCCAAATCTAACAGAAATTATTTTAAGAGTCCTATATTATGCAAAATTGACTCTTATGAACTTTAAGCCATGTTAAAATGTTGTTACATCCTCAAAAACATAGCTTGAGTAGTGTTTTGTTTCATTCACACATGTTTAAGTCTTTATTATTCGTCTGTATACATCTGTAAAGCTCATCATACTCTGTTCCACCTTATGTAGTGGTACTTTTCACGTTGACAGCTCCTTTTACATTTTGTTCATTAGAGATTTGCAATTCCAGGTCTAAAATTATCCAAATGATTCTAATGAAGGTGCATGGAATTTATAAACACAGTGTGTATTTTTTGTTCAAGAGAACTCAGCTTAAATATGCAGAGTTTGTGTGTCAAACGTGTGAATGAAATAAAACACAACTCCAGGTATGTTTGTGAAAACCACCACTGAATATATCTTATACTGTTTCTATGCTCCAACACTGGTACCTGCCCCCAGTTTGAGAACCACTGCGTAAGACAAAACAAATGACAATGACTGACAGTGATACAGGGCCTGCATTCCCAGAAGCAGGTTTAGCTTGAATGTATGGACTTTGCTGAGTAGCGCTTTGGTTCACATCCAACTCGTCTGGCGGCCGTCCTCCGCAGATAGTTATAGCTGTATTTGTGTGAGTTGTAGAGTATACCCCCCCATCCCCCATTCAACTACAATGGAGGTAAGTGGCATTTAATTTGCAGTGCTCACCAAAGTCAATAGCTTTAAATCAGTCAGTGTTCTGCTTGGAGAGTTGAAATGCCTGATTTTGGCTTTTAAAACTACTCATACCTTTGCTTTACTGCTCTCAGCAGAGTGGTCCACTGTACAAACCCACTTTTAGTCACAGGGCTCTGGTCAGAGCAATGAAAGAGCTGTTCTTTTGTTGTTCGAATAAAACCAAGCCACGTTTAACTGATTGTGTTGCGCGGTTTAACAATGGTAGTTGTTTTTTGTATCTACAGTGAAGCCAATGTTCTCTTGCACTGCCCAATTCAATTCAAGCGTTTTCCAGTTCAAACAAAACAATAGAGATTTATGTGTGATGTTTAATGCGTCAAAATGGTGGCGTTCCAAAGTGAATGATTTGGAAAGTAACAGACTATATTAGATATGATATGCGAGTTGGGCACATTTGAAATTAACATCATTCCTGGCTTATAACTAATGGGGGTGTTTTTGTTGTCATACCATAAAAAAAGATAAAACTGGTGGTGAAAACCTATGAAATGAAAGAACATCACATTGAGCAACCATTCACACACAGTCATACAGTGTACAGGGGAGGCAAGGTGGATTAAGTGTGTTGCCCAAGGACATAACAACGGTATTCATACTCGCACAAGGACTCAAGTGATGGTAACGATCAAAAACTGACTGCCAAGTTAAGTTCAGGCAAATGAAATGCATAATAAATTGATTAAAATAAACAGACTTTTGGAGAAATTTAGTCTGTAAAATTTACAGATTTGTTAGTAATGTACAACCATAAAACATTATCCCTCCTATTTTCATTCAATAAACACATTACAAACCCTAAATAATTGGACTATGCCATGTTTGTTCGCAAACTATAAGATAACTGTAAGACAACACAACTATTTAGTCATAATCCAATAGTCGAACTGTATAAAGAAATGGACTAAGGGAGTGTGACGTAGCATTCGGCTCCAGTCAAATGAAGCTTATCGAGGCTGCAGTTATGGGGCAAATTTGGAGTTCCACATTTGGGTGTATCATAGCAACTAAAGAGCTAATCCGGAGCGAGGTTGCTGAAAGTAACGCCCTAAATGTGTTGGCAACACTAGCGGGAATGACCTTGGGGAAAGGAGGTGCCTGATTTGAGTGCTATTAATGTTCATATCTTGATTTTTAAACAAAATAGTGAAATAAAAACACCAGGAGCATGTAGAGCAGGTGAATCCGAACACTTTAAGACTAAAATGACAAGTCTGACCGCAGCAGTTACCCAGAGTGCGGCGACTGTTTTTCAATATAAGTGAATTAGAGCCAGAGTCGATGGAGCCAAAAGCACACCCCTGTCCATTTATTTTGTCCATGAGTCAAATGGACTAAACAAAGCCGCTCATCTCGTTCATTTGACAATTGTCCCACTCTTTAAATACCATAAACTTGGGTGGAGAACCTAAACCCTCTGTGCAACTGTCCTCTACACGGGCCAAGACAAGAGAAAGTTAACAAGCAAGTCTTTAAATAGTGCAAGCCCTGGGACGCGTGGACACAATCAGGCTGTCCCACACACCCAGGGGAGCGCAGGGGGACAGCTGAGGATTCATTCTACTCTCTACAGATTTGGGAATCAAGGACAAAGACAAATCTAATAAATTCTATTTGGAGAAAGGGCTCAAAATATAGAATAATTACGTCTGATGTATTTGCGGCTCAATCAATCAACAATACGGTGAGAATGAGGCCACTGGGTCCGGTCTTAACCACCCAAGGACTTATCTTATTACCACTGCTAATTAGCTAACCACTTATTTTGGTCGTCATTCAAACTGCTCTTGGCCTTCATCTTGGAAAGTTAAAAGCAACTGTAGGCCTGTACGATATGTCATTTTTAAGGCCAAACTGAGTAAATGAAACTAATCTAATTGGTATCATTAGCCTGCAGGCATGGGTAAATTGGAATATTGAAATTTATGTCAAATGTTTTATTTTTCTTGAGGATAAACACTACAGTTTTTTTTTTTTTAAAGGGCCCATTCTGTTCTCTTTTTGGATCTACATTATAATGTTGATCCTTGTTAAAAACATAGCTGGAGTTGTTTGTTGTTTTGTTTCATTCACACGTGTTTAAAACGCAAACCCTGCATACTAAGTTGTGTTCTTCTCTCAAACAGAAAACACTCTGTTCCACCTTGTGATGTCATGTGGTAATACAGCAAACGCTCCTCTTCATTTTTATACGCCATACACCTTCATTAGAATCATTGGGATAATTTCAGCCCTGAAATTGCTTGTCTCTACTGAATAAAAGGTAAAAGGTTGGTGTTAACTTGAAAACTATCTTTTCATGACATCACAAGGTGGAACAGAGAATTTTGAGCTTTGGAGATATACACAGAAAAATAACACTCCTCCTAATAATACATCTGGTAACATCATTCTAGAATGCCATACAGCGGAACATTTAAGGGGAAACATTCTGGTGATGCTCACCTTTCACTTGTGGAAGCAGATTTATACAATGAAGTTTTGATTTACTTTTGATATACTTTTCTGGATGTTATAAATTTGCATTGCCATACCATTGGCCAGGAGTTTTTTTTTTTCATAATTTTCCGTTTGTGTTTGAAAAATACAATGAGTAGATGGTGAGTGGAGCTATCAAAATCAATCACATAAATAGAATGAGAGCTTGCTTGAATGAGGACTGCAGAGTTTAACTCTTTCTTCAATTCAACAGCTATTTCAGTCCACAGTATAACAAGGAAAATGTGGAGATACATTGGCCAAGCTTTCAACAAAGTTGTTTTCTTCATGTTTTCAAAAAGGGAAGGAAACATGACCTTGAGAGGAGCACAATGCTATTCAGTATACATCAATTTCACTGCTTTTACTATTGACGTCTCTGAGAATACAAAAAGGGCTGATTTGACAGCGTTCACCTCCCCATCACTGCATATTGTATTGATACAAATCAAAAGTTGTACAGGCCGTGATAGATGGGACACCTATTTGAAAAGATGAAGGCGCATTGCTCACATCAGGGATACAGCAACAAGGCAGAAACTATAGAATCAATGCATGAAATAAAGGCTTTGGCTTATACAATATAATACAGCACTGTACAAAAATAGACTGGTGGGATCCAAATAGCATCCAAATAAACTACTATTTTGTGTTGAAAATGACTATGTATATTGTATTAAAAATATTTTTTATAATCATTTTAGTATTTAAATCAGTATTAAGGTTATTCTTTGGTATCAGAAAAATATATTTTTCAAATCAGGAATTAATCAGGCTTTCTAAGAAAAAACACACTTGAAAGTAGGCTATATGCTCATATGTTAGTGCCCCATCTTGGGTCTTGCTATTTTTGATATTTATTTAGAATTTATTATAACCATTTATATTTTTTTTGCTCTTTGTTATTATATTATATTGTGATGCATGAACTACTGGGTCCAAATAATTTCTCTTGTGGATCAATAAAGTTGGTCTAAGTCTAAGTCTATGTAACTCATTTGAGGATTTAATTTAAATCTTTGACAAATTAAAATCTAGCAAGGGATCAATAACATGAAAATGAGGTCAGAAAAAAAAAAAAAAGTATTACAACCAGAAACAGCCATAAAATGAATGACATTTATCAGTATTGGACTTTTGAACCCTAGTGACACTTAAAGACGTGCATTTGACAGAACGTATGTCTTCTTCTGGTGCAGCTTGCAGCCCTGCGTCATGGAAACCGGAGCTGGGATCGA